GAGAATGGGAGTACTGAGGAGAGGAGAATGGGAGTACTGAGGACAGGAGAATGGGAGTACTGAGGAAAGGAGAATGGAGTACTGAGGAGAGGAGAATGGGAGTACTGAGGAAAGGAGAATGGGAGTACTGAGGAGAGGAGAATGGGAGTACTGAGGAGAGGAGAATGGGAGTACTGAGGAGAGGAGAATGGGAGTACTGAGGAGAGGAGAATGGGAGTACTGAGGAATGGTGAGGAGAATGGGAGTACTGAGGAAAGGAGAAATGGGAGTACTGAGGAGAGGAGAATGGGAGTACTGAGGAGAGGAGAATGGAGTACTGAGGACAGGAGAATGGGAGTACTGAGGACAGGAGAATGGGAGTACTGAGGAGAGGAGAATGGGAGTACTGAGGAGAGGAGAATGGGAGTACTGAGGAGAGGAGAATGGGAGTACTGAGGAGAGGAGAATGGGAGTACTGAGGAGAGGAGAATGGGAGTACTGAGGAGAGGAGAATGGGAGTACTGAGGAGAGGAGAATGGGAGTACTGAGAGAGGAGAATGGGAGTACTGAGGAGGAGAATGGGAGTACTGAGAGAGGAGAATGGGAGTACTGAGGACAGGAGAATGGGAGTACTGAGGAGAGGAGAATGGGAGTACTGAGGACAGGAGAATGGGAGTACTGAGGAGAGGAGAATGGGAATACTGAGGAGAGGAGAATGGGAGTACTGAGGACAGGAGAATGGGAGTACTGAGGACAGGAGAGTACTGAGGAGAGGAGAGTACTGAGGAGAGGAGAATGGGAGTACTGAGGAGAGGAGAATGGGAGTACTGAGGAGAGGAGAATGGGAGTACTGAGGGAGGAGAATGGGAGTACTGAGGAGAGGAGAATGGGAGTACTGAGGAGAGGAGAATGGGAGTACTGAGGAGAGGAGAATGGGAGTACTGAGGGAGGAGAATGGGAGTACTGAGGAGAGGAGAATGGGAGTACTGAGGAGAGGAGAATGGGAGTACTGAGGAGAGGAGAGAATGGGAGTACTGAGGAGAAGAGAATGGGAGTACTGAGGACAGGAGAATGGGAGTACTGAGGAGAGGAGAATGGGAGTACTGAGGAGAGGAGAATGGGAGTACTGAGGAGAAGAGAATGGGAGTACTGAGGAGAGGAGAATGGGAGTACTGAGGAGAGGAGAATGGGAGTACTGAGGAGAGGAGAATGGGAATACTGAGGAGAGGAGAATGGGAGTACTGAGGAGAGGAGAATGGGAGTACTGAGGAGAGGAGAATGGGAGTACTGAGGAGAGGAGAATGGGAGTACTGAGGAGAAGAGAATGGGAGTAAATGAGGACAGGAGAATGGGAGTACTGAGGAGAGGAGAATGGGAGTACTGAGGAGAGGAGAATGTTCTCTGAGGACAGGAGAATGAGAGTAGAGGACAGGAGAATGGGAGTCTGAGGAGAGGAGAATGGGAGTACTGAGGAGAAGAGAATGGGAGTACTGAGGAGAGGATATGGGAATACTGAGGAGAGGAGAATGAGAGTACTGAGGAGAGGAGAATGGGAGTATTTTTACAGGAGAATGAGAGTACTGAGGAGGTTCAATAAGAATGGGACTCTGAGGAGATGAAGAGTACTGAGGAGAGGAGAATGGGATACTGAGGAGAGGAGAATAGTACTGAAGACAGAGGTAGACAAGAGACAGACACACTCTGAGTTATAGTGAGATGTCATCCCATACTCTGCACTGTGCAGATCCCCCTCTACACATCCTATAGGATTCATCAGTATAGTGTCCATAGATAGATAGATGGATAGATATATGAGATAATCCAATAGACAGACTCATGAAATGTGATCATAATAGATATAGATCAATAGATACTAGATAGCATAGATACAGACTAGATAATATATAGATAGATATATACATAGATAGGTAATATAATGTACTCTAGTACTGTATAGACTCATCCCATCTCTCTCTATATAGATAGATTCCCATAGATAGATCTAGATAGATAGATAGATAGATAGATAGATAGATAGATAGATAGATAGATAGATAGATAGATAGATAGATAGATAGATAGATAGATAGATAGATAGATAGATAGATAGAATAGATAGATAGATAGATAAGATAGATAATAGATAGATAGATAGATAGATAGATTAATAGATAGATAGATAATAGATAGATAGATAGATAGATAGATAGATAGATAGATAGATAGATAGATAGATAGATAGATAGATAGATAGATAGATAGATAGATAGATAGATAGATAGATAATAGATAGATAGATAGATAGATAGATAGATAGATAGATAGATAGATAATAGATAGATAATAGATAGATAATAGATAGATAGATAATAGATAGATAATAGATAGATAGATAGATATAGATAGATAGATAGATAGATAGATAGATAGATAATAGATAGATAGATAGATAGATAGATAGATAATAGATAGATAGATAGATAGATAGATAGATAATAGATAGATAGATAGATAGATAGATAGATAGATAGAAGATAGATAGATAATAGATAGATAGATAGATAGATAGATAGATAGATAATAGATAGATAGATAGATAGATAGATAGATAGATAATAGATAGATAGATAGATAGATAGATAGATAGATAGATAGATAGATAGATAGATAGATAGATAGATAGATTAGATAGATAATAGATAGATAGATAGATAGATAGATAGATAGATAGATAGATAGATAGATAGATAGATAGATAGATAGATAGATAGATAATAGATAGATAGATAGATAGATAGATAGATAATAGATAGATAGATAGATAGATAGATAGATAGATAGATAGATAGATAGATAGATAGATAGATAGATAATAGATAGATAGATAGATATAGATAGATAGATAGATAGATAGATAGATAGATAGATAGATAGATAGATAGATAGATAATAATAGTATAATAGATAGATAGATAGATAAATAGATAGATAATAGATAGATAATAAAGATAGATATAATATAGATAGATAATAGATAGATAGATAGATAGATATAGATAGATAGATAGATAGATAATAGATAGATAGATATATAGATAATAGTAATAGATAGATAGATAGATAATAGATATAATAGATAGATAGATAGATAGATAGATAGATAGATAGTAATAGATAGATAGATAAAATAGATAATAGATAGAAGATAATAGATAGATAGATAGATAGATAGATAGATAGATAGATAGATAGATAGATAGATAGATAGATAGATAGATAGATAGATAGATAGATAGATAGATAGATAGATAGATAGATTAGATAGATAGATAGATAGATAGAGATAATAAATAGATAGATAGATATAATAGATAGATAGATAATAGATAGATTAGATAGAATAGATAGATAGATAGATAGATAGATAGATAGATAGATAGATAAGATAGATAGATAGATAGATAGATAGATATTATTAGATAGATAGATAGTTAGATAATAGATAGATAGATAGATAGATAGAAAAGATAGAATAGATAGATAGATAATTTAGATAATAGATAGAGATAGAAAAAAAAATAGATAATAGATAAAAGATAGATAGATAATAGATAGATAGATAGATAGATAGATAGATAGATAGATAGATAATAGATAGATAGATAGATAGATAGATAGATAGATAATAATATAGATAGATAGATAGATAGATAGATAGATAGATAGATAGATAGATAGATAGATAGATAGATTAGATAGATAGATAGATAGATAATAGATAGATTGATAGATAGATAGATAGATAGATAATATAGATAGATAGATATAATAGATAGATAGATAATAGATAGATAATAGATAGATAGATAATAGATAGATAGATAGATAATAGATAATATAATAGATAGATAGATAGATAATAGATAGAATAGATATTAGATAGATATATAGATAAATAGATAGATAGATAGATAGATAGATAGATAGATAGATAGATAGATAATAGATAAGATAGATAGATAGAGATAGATAGATAGATTAGATAGATTAGATAGATAGATAGATAGATAATAGATAGATAGATAGATAGATAGATAATGATACTTTATACTGTATATACTGACTAGATAGATAGTTGTTAGATAGATATAATAATTTAGATAGATGATACAATAATAGAAATCTATTATGTGAGTTAATTAGATAGATAAATAGCTGATACACTAGATAGCCCCATCTATATATCTAGATGTATTATAGTGATAGATAGATGTGATAGATATTACTATAGATAGATGGTATTATATAGATATAATCGCACCCATCTATATATCTGATATTAGATAGAATAGTATATAGTAATATTGATATGATTACACTAATAGATAGATATATATTGTGTATTATTTGAGTACTAATAGATTAGAAGATGTACCAATAGCCCCCATTATATATCTGAGTATAATATTATAGTGTGCTGTTATGCTGTACAATCGCCCATCTATATTTTATACTGCGTATTATAGTGTGCTCTGTGCTGTACACTCGCCCCATCTATATATCTGAGTATTATAGTGTACTCTGTGCTGTACACTCGCCCCATCTATATATGTTTGGTATTAGTTTTATAGTGTGCTCTGTGCTGTACACTCGCCCCATCTATATATCTGAGTATTATAGTGTACTCTGTGCTGTACACTCGCCCCATCTATATATCTGAGTATTATAGTGTACTCTGTGCTGTACACTCGCCCCATCTATATATCTTGAGTATTATAGTGTACTCTGTGCTGTACACTCGCCCCATCTATCTATCTATATATCTGAGTATTATAGTGTGTGCTCTGTGCTGTACATCGCTCGCATCGCCCCATCTATATATGTTGGTATTATACTCTGCTGTACAGACTCGCCCAGAATAAATCCTGTATGTTTCAGCAGTATAGTGTCCATAGTAGGAGGGAGAATGATATGAGAGAAAATTAAATGTGCCCCCCCCCCCCCCCCCCCGCAGGGCTCACTTACTTGTTCCCATCACCCCCCTGCTCCATCTCCTCTGCCGTCATCTGTACGAATTCTTTGACCAAAGCGTTGAGTAACCGTCGTGCCTCATAGTCGCTGATGGTGACCCGGTCCGTTAAGGTGTCCAAGCCCGGTCTTCATGGGGAGAGAAGAGAGCGAATGTCAGAGGAAGAGGGGCGAGTGACCACGCCGCAGTCCCGCAGCCTAATACCCGACATCCCCCAGACTGCGCCATCCCAGGCGGACGCCACCCTCTTACCTGACTGGCGCTGCCTGCGTGCTGGACATCTGGCTGACCACCAAGCCCAGGACTGCGACGAGGGAGGAGACCTTCAGGAGAACCATCATGTCCTGTCCAGGAAGATTTAAAGGGAAAGTTTTGGCCGGCTGCCAGCAATGCCATCATCATTAAACCCCCCCCCCCCCCCCAGACCTCTCCACCATAATCTCCTGAAAGCTTTCCAGCGACTGCCCACACATTCCACTCGCAAGTCGCCGTCTCCGGCTCTCGCAGCCCTCACACCACCTTATTAGAAGATCTTATTATACGCTGGAGCGCGGTGTTCGATGAAATGAAAATTGCGATGCATTGAAGTCTGTTTTATAATCGTTACATATGGAGGCTGGTGGAAGGATTTAACCTGCAGCTGTCAGGCTTTGCACACGCTGGGAGTTGTAGTTCTGCGACAGACCCAATGCTGCAAGTCAAAATTTGTAGTAAAATTTGGAAATGGTAAAATCTGGAAATAAGGGACACGAATCTACCACGGTCAAAGGATTCATCCTGGAGGTAGGCTGACATTTCATTCCTCCAATCAGCTTATAGAAAGACAGAGTCTGCCGCCATACTGGGACTTATAGTTCCCCACCATCCCAGCAGGCTTTTAAATCAACCTTAGCAGGCAATGACCGCTCCTTGTCCGTGTTACACACTGAAGCAGCTAAAACACATTTAACTTAGGGCTCCTGGGCATGCTGGGCATTTTAGTTCCTCAGGAGCCCAAGAGCCAAGGGAACAGAGCTATAGTTCCACCAGATCCATCAGGTGAGACTTCTAGCACCGGGATGGCTGAATACGGACAATTCCTTTCATCAGCAGCTTTATCATCTGTACTAGACGTTGCTGAATGTAAAATAGAAATGACGGCGACGGCAAAAGAGTTAGCCGCCTGCGTGGAGAAGGTGGAAGAGCGGCGAGTGTCATAGCAAAGAGTCGGAGAACTTCAAATCCACTTACCTGGCCAGTGATTGTAAGTTGTCGGCTTCCTAGTGGGAGAGACTCTCTTAGAGCAGTTACGATTTTCACTCTCAGTGCTCTCCAATGAGAAGAAGGGCGCCCTTATATACCTGCCGACTGCATGAGAGTGTGTGGGCGTCCTGTGACCGCCCGCCAGCCAATGGGGGCCATCCCAGCCCAACACCGACCAATCCCCGGCAGGGTCCGGACCCCCCGGGCGACCAATGACGTCATCACAGTCACTGAGAATTCCATTCACAAAACCTGCCAGTCATCGCTCCCTGATAGAAGCATTTGCATTGATGTCATTGAAAAAAAAAAACTAAAAAAAAAAAAAAAAAAGCAGAAACGTTAATGAAAAGTAAAGGGGAAGAGTCTCCAGTCATTAATAATTTATCCTCTGCTTACACCGCTCCCCCCCCCCCCTTCCCAAAATATGACTCGATGTTGTTGTGGGAGACAAAAAACTCAATGGACGGCCTTTATTAAAAGCGACATCTACTGCAGAACGTACTGCATTGCAGACACCATCGCCAGATCATCAGCGATTTATCGCAACGCTGACTAATCTGAGTGCATCCCGGTGTGGGGGGTGGGAAGGGGCAACATGGCCAACCGCAGCACAAGAACCATCTACAAAACTTTTATGGTGGTCAATATATCAGTGACCAACCATCTATACTGGTCTACACACCTACCTACACCAGGATATACATCTATATACCTCACTGTACCTATATACCAGTCTATATATACCTCTTTGTACCTATATACCAGTCTACATACCTCTTTGTACCTATATACCAGTCTACATACCTCTTTGTACCTATATACCAGTCTACATACCTCTTTGTACCTATATACCATCTACATACCTCTTTGTACCTATATACCAGTCTACATACCTCTTTGTACCTATATACCAGTCTATATACCTCTTTGTACCTATATACCAGTCCATACCCCTCATTGTACCTATATACCAGTCTATACCACTCGCTGTACCTATATACCAGTCCATACCCCTCATTGTACCTATATACCAGTCTATACCACTCGCTGTACCTATATACCAGTCCATACCCCTCACTGTACCTATATACCAGTCCATACCCCTCACTGTACCTATATACCAGTCCATACCCCTCACTGTACCTATATACCAGTCTATCTACCTCACTGTACCTATATACCAGTCTATACCACTCGCTGTACCTATATACCAGTCTACATACCTCAATGTACCTATATACCAGTCTACATACCTCTTTGTACCTATATACCAGTCTATATACCTCTTTGTACCTATATACCAGTCTATATTACCTCTTTGTACCTATATACCAGTCTATATACCTCTTTGTACCTATATACCAGTCTATCTACCTCACTGTACCTATATACCAGTCTATACCACTCGCTGTACCTATATACCAGTCTATAGCACTCGCTGTACCTATATACCAGTCTTTTCACCTCACTGTACCTATATAACAGTCTATAGCACTCACTCTACCTATATACCAGTCTATACCCCTCACTGTACCTATATACCAGTCTACATACCTCAATGTACCTATATACTAGTCTATATATCCCACTGTACCTATATACCAGTCTATATATCCCACTGTACCTATAACCCAGTCTTTACACCTCACTGTACCTATATACCAATCCCTATACCCCACTCAACTTATATACCAGTCTATATATACCTCGCTGTATCTATATACCAGTCTATAAACTCCCTGCACCTACATATCAGTGTATACACTTCACTGTACATATATACCAGTCTACATGCCCCTATTCAAGTCTATGCACCTTGCATCTCGCCCCACCCAGTGGGTCGCCTCTGTGGCCAAGCCCCGATGAGTGGGGCAAAACGCATCCGAGGACGTGGCCGGAGCGAGGACTAAGGCCAACACAGACACCTTCCACCACTCCATGTGGGTTGGATTGAGCAGCGTCCACATCTCTTGACAACTTTACACCCCTAGATACAGTCAGGACACCTGCCCCCACATCAGCGCATCGGCTGGGTTACTTTACATTGTCTAGCTTAGAGCTGTGCTGCAAGCCTGTCATATCATGGTAGAGAGGGGCAGTTACAATGACAGATTAGGACAATAGAGGGTGTATGATGGTGGAGAGGGACAGTGGAGTGTATAATGGGACAGCAGGGATAGTGATGGGTGTATATTGGTGGAGAGGGACAGTGGAGTGTATAATGGGACAGCAGGGATAGTGATGGGTGTATATTGGTGGAGAGGGACAGTGGAGTGTATAATGGGACAGCAGGGATAGTGAAGGGTGTAATTAATTTTGGTGGAGAGGGACAGTGAAGGATGTATAATGGGACATTGGGGATAGTGATTGGTGTATATTGGTGGAGAGGGACAGTGGAGTGTATAATGGGACATTGGGGATAGTGATGGGTGTATAGTGGTGGAGAGGGACAGTGAAGGATGTATAATGGGACAGTAGGGATAGTGAAGGGTGTAATTTTGGTGGAGAGGGACAGTGAAGGGTGTATAGTGGTGGAGAGGGACAGTGAAGGGTGTATAGTGGTGGAGGGGACAGTGAAGGGTGTATAGTGGTGGAGAGGGACAGTGAAGGGTGTATAGTGGTGGAGGGGACAGTGAAGGGGTGTATAATGGTGGAGAGGGACAGTGAAGGGTGTATAATGGGACAGTAGGGATAGTGAAGGGTGTAATTTTGGTGGAGAGGGACAGTGAAGGATGTATAATGGGACATTGGGGGATAGTGAATGGTGTACAATGGTGGAGAGGGATAGTGAAGGGTGTGAAATGGTGGAGAGGGACAGTGAAGGATGTATAATGGGACAGTAGGGATAGTGCAGGGTGTAATGTTTGTGGAGAGGGACAGTGAAGGCTGTATAGTGGTGGAGAGAGATAGTGAAGGGTGTACAATGGTGGAGAGGGACAGTGAAGGGTGTACAATGGTGGAGAGGGACAGTGAAGGGTGTACAATGGTGGAGAGGGACAGTGAAGGGTGTACAATGGTGGAGAGGGACAGTGAAAGATGTATAATGGGAAAGTGGAAACAGTGAAGGATGTATATTGGAGGAGAGGGACACTGAAGGGTGTATATTGGTGGAGAGGGATACTGAACGGTGTATAATGGTGGAGAGGGACAGTGAGGGCGTATAATGGGGGAGAGGGACAGTGGAGGGTGTATAATGGTGGAGAGGGACAGTGGAGGGTGTATAATGGTGGAGAGGGACAGTGGAGGGTGTATAATGGGGAGAGGGGACACTGAAGAGTGTATAATTGTGGAGAGAGACAGTTGATGGTATATAATGGTGCAGAGTGGAGGGAATATAATGGTGGAGAGGGGCACTGAAGGGTGTATATTGGTGGAGTGGGACACTGAACGGTGTATAATGGTGGAGAGGGACAGTGGAGAGTGTATAAAGGTGGAGAGGGACAGTGGAGGGTGTATAATGGTGGATAGGGACACTGAAGGGTGTATAATGGTGGAGAGGGATACTGAACGGTGTATAATGGGGGAGAGGGACAGTGGAGGGTGTATAATGGTGGAGAGGGACACTGAAGGATGTATATTGGTGGAGAGGGACACTGAACAGTGTATAATGGTGGAGAGGGACAGTGGAGGGTGTTTAATGACAGAGAGGGACAGTTGAAGGTGTATATTGCTGGAGATGGTCAGTGGAAGTTGATAATGGAGAGGGGGGCAGAGTGGTATATTAAGGAGTGGTATTTGGTAGAAGGTTGATATAGCGGTGCTGGTGGGAAGGAGAAATTCTACAGGATTATGGTGGTGGAAAGTGACTGAAGAGGGTGCTAATGAGTGAGAGAGGAATACTACAAAGTAGAAGTGATAGGGACATGGGAAAGGTTAAATACAGGTTTGATTAAAGGGGAGAGGAAAGTAAGGACGCAAAGAGGCTTTGTAGAGGGGAAACAGTGGAGCAGGGGCTTTGTGGGGTTGGGCAGAGGGATAAAACAGAGGTGACAATGCAGAGAGAGCAGATTGATGATGGGGGACATGAATAGCAAATGAATGATAATAGGGAGAGGGAGTACTAGAGAGGTGAGCTGAAGAGTGCGATAGTTTACGT